TATAAAAATGTCAGTTTCATACGGTTACATAAAGTTCAAGCTTAAAATCCATTTTATGGAATTATCTTCAACTTATGCCATAAAGGTAGTACTTTAGCGAAAGAAATCTCACCTTCACTTGCAGATGGTTTGGGGGATACGTTAGTTTTCTGTTTATTTTAAGAGTCACCTTAAATTGTGGACGTGGGTCCCTTCTCCCAGTGCTGGGGGTGGAAACGCTCACACCCATCTCCGCAGCATCCGACAGGCAGCCCTCGCAGACGGCGGGCGCGTGGCCGTGTGGTCACATCCAACCCGGGGCACCGCAGGACTGGGAGGGACTTATTGTGAAGTTGCCGTGTGGACCAGTTCTGCTCTGAGCTGGAGGATTATTCCTGCTCAGACCCATCCAGCGGCATTAATCTTCCTTTGATTCAATTTGGTTTTCACTCCTGAAGTAGGAGCCCAGAGGGTGCTCCTGCCTCACAGGACACGGGAGGATTAATGAGTCACTTTTAGGAAAGCCTTGGGAGCCCCTCAGACGGAACGAACAGCACAGACTTTTAACACTTTGGGTTCTGTGGCGCTTTTCAAAAAGGCCTTTCTGTCCTCGACTAGGTAGCAGCTACAAAATGACCCTCCTTCCAACACCTTTACACTGGTGTTAAGTGTCACATGGGGGGAGTGCCCCGCCCCGCCCAGAACAGCTGTGAAAGTTGGCAGCACACTCACTCACACACATCCCTGCTCAAAACACACAACTCGCCGAAACCGGTTTGGCTCAGTGGATAGAGCATCGGTCTGCGGACTGAAAGGTCCCAGGTTCGATTCCGGTCAAGGGCATGTACCTGGGTTGCTGGCACATCCCCAGTGGGGGGTGTGCAGGAGGCAGCTGATCGATGTTTCTCTCTCATCGATGTTTCTAACTCTCTATCTCTCTCCCTTCCTCTCTGTAAAAAATCAATAAAATATATTTAAAAAAAAAAAAAAAAAAAAAAAAAAAAAAAAAAAAAACCACACAACTCGTCCACTCATAAAGTGCTTTCACCCTTGCTCTCGGGAGATACTTTCTGAGCACAGTCTCCTCGGCTCGGCACGCTGCTTCCGCGCTCTCGCTGCGGCACGGGCCAGCAGTGGGCCGTGCCAGCGCCTGAGAAGACGGGTGAACTTCGGGCAGCGCTCCCTATCGCCGGCCACGTGGCCTTCGTGATGATGGAGCGAGGGTGCTCGCTTCTGGCAAAGCGAAGCGTCTGACAGTAACAGTATTGGCTCAACCCTCCGTGGGATCCACTTGGGATTCATTCTTTGACAGTTACCCAGAATGAATCACCAGCTTCCTTTTATTAAAAGGTATGTATTGGCTCTGAAACAGAGCACATCCAGGTCTTCATGCGGAGGAGTTTGTAACTATTTTCAAACCGTCTCCAAACTCAGTGCTGGAGGATCGCTAAGGGGGTGCCTGCACACAGTTCACTTTAATTGCATCAAATGTGGAGGATAATTGAAAAATCGGCCAGAAAACAATGAAGGGCTCAAGGGGAAAGGAGAGGACGTTTGGTAATAACAGCAGAGTCAAAGTTAAGAGTCCAGAATCCTCACTTGAGACACGTCACAGAGGCCTGAGGCCCAGCAGCCCCTGCCCAGAACCCTCCCCACAAGCTGTCGGGAACACCAGCCATTGGGGCTGCTGGCCTAGCGTTAGCGGCTGGTGGGACACGGCTGGCTGGAGAGCTGTGCTCTGGGGCCTCTCCAGGGCTGGCTCCCTCAGAGTTCCTGCCTCTGTGGGTGCAACCTGAAGATTAGGCCTTCATCCCCTGTGCTTGCTAAGCAGGGTTGTACATGCTGATAACCAACATGTAGCAGGCCGGACGAGAAATCCTAAGTTTCTACTTTTTTCCAAACTGGGGAAGGCCAGGTCCAAATTAGTGTTAGAATCAAAACAGCCTTAGAGCTTTAGGGCAGAGGGGGAAGCACTAGCTAAGGATGCTCAGAAAGGACAGGGTGATTCCCCTCCACAGCCCCCAGCGGAAGGTGAGGATTGCTGTGACCCCATCTGCCTCTTCTGTTTTGTGGAGCAGCCCCTCCGCCCCTCTGAGCAGTTTGCTCCTCCCAAGGATGGAGGCCGCCTCTGCCTCTGAGCATCCAGGTCCCGGGGCCGGGTGGGAGGGGTACACTAGAAGCCATCAGGTGAGAGAGCTCCCCTTTATCTCCAAAACAGGCTGCACACAGCACTGCAATTGCGTGTGAATGGAGTAAAACCATTTGCTTGTCAAACATGCACCTTTTAAATCTGTAGCAATTTTTTAACAGCTCTACTGAGATAACATTTATATACATAAAGCTCACCTTTTTAAGGCGTACAATTCAATGGGTTTTGGTACATTTACAAAGTTGTATAATCATTACCACAATCTAATTTTAGAACATTTTCATCACCCCAAAAGGAAACCTTGAACTCGTTAGCAGGCACTCCCCCTGTGTTAGGCAATTAGTAATCTACTTTCTGTCTATAGAAATTTGCCTATTCTGGATGCTTTGTATAAATGGGATCGCACTCCCATGGTCTTCTGTGACTGTCTCCTTGCACTTAGCATAATGTTTTTGAGATTCATTCATGTTGTAGCATGTGTCAGTACCCCTTTTCTTTTATTGTACGGCAATTTTTTTATAGTATATTCACACAATGGAATAATACACAGTGATTTTTAAAAAGGACAAACTGCTGGTAGCTGCAACAACTTGGGTAAACATCACAGACCTTAATATTGACCCTCAGAAGCTAGACACACAAATATATACTGAATGACTCCATTTATATGACCTTCAAGAACAGATACAACTAATCAATAATGATGGAAGTCAGAAAAGGAAGGGATCTTTATTGCCTGGGAAGGGAAATGGAGGTACTTCTCAGAGCCTTGAAATATAATTTTATATCTTGATGTGGGTGCTGGTTACACAGGTATATACTTGAGTGAACATTCAATGAGCTGTATACTTTTATATTAGTGAATGTTAGGTACTTTTCTGTAAGAGTTAAATTTAAAATTTTTTATTTAAAAGTGCATGCAATTTTTATGGTTTTACAAGCGTCCTTTTAAAATAGGAGACACTTGCCCTAGTCGGTGCTCAATGGTTAGAGCATTGGCCCCCAGACTCAAGGGTTGAGGGTGCCATTTCTGTCAAGGGCAGGTACCTTAGTTGCAGTCTGGATCCCTGCGCCTTGGTCGGGGAGCTTGTGGGAGGCAACCAGTCAATGTGTCTCTCTCACATCAATGTTTCTCTCACTATCTCTCCCCTTCCCTTTCACTCTCTCTCAAAATCAATGGGAAAATATTCTCAGATGAAGATTATCCAAAAGTATATAAAATGTGTATATGTGTGTGTGCGTGTACACGTATGTACATATATACACATATATATAAAACTAGAGTCCCAATGCACAAAATTTGTGCAAGGGGCTTGACCCTTGCAGCCCCGGCTGCCTCGTGGCCCTGCAGCCCCGCCCCCTGCCCACTGGTCGTTCCAGAAGGTCATTCTGGAAGGTCGTTCCGCCATCGGTCTAATTAGCATATTAGCTCTTTATTATATAGGATGTGTGTGTATATATATGTATATACATGTATATACATATATATATAAAATGTGTGTGTATATGTACAGTAGGTCCTCAGGTTATGTCAGAGATCCGTTCCCACAGTGTAACACAATTTTCGCCGTAAGTCGGAACCCACCTACATAAGCACCTACGTCACTTACATGGAGCACATACACAGCAATAACGAAGTGAAACAGTAAAAAAAAAATTTAAAAGAAAGATAACAATTCCTGACTTTTACTTGTGGTAAATAAATAATAAAAAACATAAAGCACATATGTACATATGTTGAAATGACAGAACTTTTTTTTTATAAATAAATGGGAGATGGTGACGTAACTACAAAACGATGTACATCGAGCCCAACGTAACCCAAGGACTGTCTGTATATACATGTATATACATATATATATAATGTGTGTGTGTGTGTGTGTGTGTGTGTGTGTGTATGACACCTACACAAAAGAGAACAAATCATAAGTGCACTGCTGATGAGTTATCGCTAGCTCCTCCCATAACTACCACTCAAGTCAGGAAATTGGACATTACTGTCCCTCAGAAGCCCCGGCCCTCCCAATCACCACCCGGCTCTCTTCTCTGAACTTGTGACATCATAGTTCTGTTTTATTCAGCTTTATGTGAATGAAATCACGCAGTATGTATTCTTTGTGTTGGGCTTCTTTTGCTCGAGATCATTGTGAGGTCATCCCTGTGGCATGTGGTAGTAATTTGCTCACTTTCTTTAATATTTTTAATTTTTAGAAATGTATTTATTGATTTGAGAGAGAGAGAAAGAAACATTGATTTATTGGTCCACTTATTTACGGTATGCATTCATTGGTTCAACTCAGCCACCCAGCCAGGGCTAATTTGCTTATTTTCATTGTTTTATAATATTCTGTTGTACCCCAAAGTATTTATTCATTTTGTTGATGATATTTGGGTTGTTTCCAGTATGCAGTAATTACAAAAAGTTTTCTGTCAGGATAGGTACTGATTTCTGCTGGGTGTATACCTAGGTGGGAAACTGCTCTATCGCAGGGTAGGCACGGGCTTTATATGCCAGTTTGTGAAAACCTGGCTCAGCATTCATTAATACAGGAGGAACCCAGCTTCTTCCCTCTCCCAGGCCAGCCGCCTCCCGTGGGTCCCGCGGCACCTGGGCTCCCCGTTCCGGCACTGGCCTCCCTGCCTCTCGTTGCCTTGTCTGTCTCCTTTCCAGGACTGGGAGCTCCTTGAGGACAGTGTCTTGCTCATCATTTAGCTCCATCTTCTGGCACAGTGCCCAGAACATAGGAATTCTTCATAAGTATTTGATTTACTAAGTGAGACTATAAAATCCAGCCAGCCATCTAATTGCTGGGTGAACTTGAGAAATACATTAAATTTTGAAAACTCATATTTTTTTTATCTTTGCTTTCAGATATCAAATGGATCCACTATAAAAGTCTTTAAGAAGATAGCAAATTTTACTTCAGGTAACCAACATAATGTCAATCTTTTGTTCTCACTTGGCTGTAGAGTATCAGACGTGTGTGGCCCAGAGGGGAGGCTGAGCTCTTGCCACTTAATTCCCTGGAAGCAGAGAACAGCCATTTCTGTTTCTCGCCCTGAGAATGTGAGCCCTACGAGGAGGACAGGACCCTGTAAACAGTTGTTAGCAGGACGACCAGCCCTAACCTCGGGCAGAGGCAGCCTTTGAAGCATCCTGCCAGCTCCTCAGCAGGATGGCTGACGATAGCATTTGCAAAATTCCTAGAAAGTGGAGAAGAGGCAAACTAAAGGGGCAGCTTTTATGCAAGAGCCACTAGGCCACTCTCTAAACCAGCGGTTCTCAACCTGTGGGTCGCAACCCCTTTGGGGGTCGAATGACCCTTTCACAGGGGTCGCCTAAGACCATCGGAAAACACATATATAATTACATATTGTTTTTGTGATTAATCACTATGCTTTAATTATGTTCAATTTGTAACAATGAAAATACATCCTGCATATCAGATATTTACATTACGATTCATAACAGTAGCAAAATTACAGTTATGAAGTAGCAATGAAAATAATTTTATGGTTGGGGGTCACCACAACATGAGGAACTGTATTAAAGGGTCGCGGCTTTAGGAAGGTTGAGAACCACTGCTCTAAACTCTCTTCTGCTGCCTGCTAGCCTCGGGCAGAGAACACTGATGGTACCTTGAGAAAGCCGCAGGGTCCAGTTCCGGCCGGTCAGGCAGTCCTCAGCCCTTAGGTGCTGGGCTGGCCTGTGGGCTGCTCTCACAGGTGGAGGTCTAGGAGCCTGCTGGGCGTAGCACTAGCCAGTTCACACAGGAAACGCAGGGCTCCCGGGGAAATGGACAGGGCAGTTTGGTAGCCTTAGGACACTGTCCAGCATTCCCTCAGGCCGAGCAAGAGGAGCCTCTTGCATCGGTGGCCTCATTCTGGCTGGCGGGGGCATCGGTGTGCTTGTGCTGCAGAGTGAAGGGTTGTGTCTCACACTCCAGATTGTGCCTTTTGCAGAGCTTGTTATTTGGGGATCTGCTTCCTTCCTCCTACCCAGTCCAGCTGAGAGCCATTATTTTAATCCCTCAGAACCCCTGCCCCTCTGCCCTTTCATCACCCCTCTGTCAACCCAGCCCGGAGGACCCAGCACCTACTTCCAGAGCTGCAGCCTGGCAGAGAGGCAACAGCAGGGCAGCCAGTCCCTCTAATCTTCAAAACAAAAAGCCAGCCCTTCTTTCCCTCCATTTACCACCCCTTTAGAGCCGCATTTCTTACAAGATTGCCCTCTCCCGCTTGCTCTGTGAGCTCCACTAACTGCCCTTCTTTCAGATCCTAGATGGGGTCAAGTTCCTTCTCACCTTACAACCTTTGCACCTGTCCCTCTTCTCCATTTGCCTGGCTAACTCTATCCCTACATTTAGGTTTAGCTCCATATCGGTTCCCTTCCTCAGGGAAACCTCCCAGACTAGGTCAGGCCCTTGTTATATACTTTCTTGGCATATAATTCTTCTTCACAATCCTTATCACAATTGTAATTAAATACTTGTGTAATTAGTACATGAAATTCTCTCCTTGGCTAGGATGTAAATTCCATTAGGGCGGGAACTCGATCTGTCTTATTCATTGCCAGGTGCCTTGTAGCCCCTGGGTGTAGTTGAGAAGGATCAGCAAGTGATCTCGGCCAGTTTCCACACTTCCAGGGACAGGGAACCTGCTTCCCCTCCAGTCCCAGGCCCAATCTGTTCTGAAGGTCCTAAGACACAGCAAGGGGAAATGTAGCTATGACGAGCTCACACTCTGCATAGTGCAAACGGGGCATTTTGTGAGAAGGCCAGTGAGCCCGAGGTTCTGGTGTTAACGGGCTGTTTTCTCTCCCTCGGCGTTCAGATGTGGAATACTCGGATGACCACTGCCATTTGGTGAGTTTCACCTCCGTGCTCCCTGCTGAATCCGATGCTTTCACAGCAAGACTGGTCTCTGGGTGACGCTTCTGCTCTGTCTCCCTTCAGATTTTACCAGATTCGGAAGCATTCCAGGACGTGCAAGGAAAGAGACATCGAGGGAAGCACAAGTTCAAAGTAAAAGAAATGTATCTGACAAAGCTGCTGTCGACCAAGGTACACTCACTGCCAGGGAGCACATTTTCCGGCCACCCGGGGGGGGGGGGGTATAATATGTTTGATTTAATTTCCACTGAAGTGTGAAAACGTTACAAATCTCTGGTGCCTTCTAGCAACGCAAAATGAAACTTTAAATTGTAAACACTTCCTACCCCCTTCTTCTTTTTTATAAACTGCAAAGATAACAGCATTTTACAAATTTCTCCTGTAACATCTTCAATCAGGGATTTAATATTGTTCCCAGTCCCTTTAGCCACAGTTCACTATTGTTTTTTAGGTTGACAGCATAATTACTCCTTTTTGTTTGTTATTAGGGATGAGCAATAAAACTCCCTCTTTGAATTGCAAATAAAATGAAGGGGTGGGGGAGTCCGTGACTACAGACCCAGTAAATCTTACCGATTATTTTTCCTTTTAAAATTAAGAATTCTGTTCACATATAAAAGTGTTGCTTGTAAACGTAAGTAGAATACCAAATTGGGAGCAAATTTTACTTTATCTGGCTTTTAGTGGGATTAACGGAAGTCTGGGGTGATCCCTTTTTTCTGAAATGACTGGCAACATATATGCCGTTACCCACACCTGGCCCTGTCTCCTGCTGGGGCTGAGGGGGCTTCTTTAGTGGGTAGAGAACAGCCAGCGCCTCTTTATTTCCTCATCTGCCCCACAGAGCTCTGCCTATTGGGTTTTTATAAAACACTCAGATGCTTCGGAAAGCACACAATGAAGCCCATGATAGAAATATATGCAACAGGAAAGATTCTGGGAACAGAGCAACTTGAGTGTTTCCAGGCTGAGCGTAACTAATAAAAGCCAGACATCCGTGGCTTCTTGGTTTATGTACACAGCCCTACAACGGGCATTTCTACTGCTAGAGGTTTCCAGTATCCTTCCTCCCGACTAAACAATACTGTTATCAGCAAGAGGCTTCCGAACCAAATCTAAACCGGCGCGGACTGCACGTGCTGGCCCCGTCAGCTTCTCTTCAGCCCGTTTTGCACATCAGTTTCTCTGAGCTTGGATTTCATTTTCCACCGTGTTTGCAGAACCACTACCCTGTTTGTTTTACCTCCTAAGCCGATGTTCTGTATCTTTTAGGTGGCAATCCACTCTGTGCTTGAAAAACTTTTTAGAAGCATTTGGAGTTTACCTAACAGCAGAGCCCCGTTTGCTATAAAGTACTTTTTTGACTTTTTGGACGCCCAGGCTGAAAACAAGAAAATCACCGATCCTGATGTCGTACATATTTGGAAAACAAACAGGTGAGAACAGATATTGATTGCTGACTGTGCAAGCGCCCGGGGCAGGACCTGACTGAGAGGAGGGCGTGGTAGCCCAGAGGACCCGGTAGCCCTGCAGCAGAGCCTTGGCTTGGTAGGCTGGCACGGCCAAGCAGTTTCTTGCTGTGACTATTTTAAACAATAAACAAAAACATTCCTATATAGAGCCTCCTATTCTTCAGGATAAAATAAACAAACTCTATTATCTTTAATGCATGAAAAGAGCCTTTGTTTGGAATGTTAAAACAAGCTTAGCTTGACCGGCAAAAGATGAAAAAATATTTTGTGGTTTTATCATACAGTTTTCCATTAGAGAACTCTTATTTATCCCTCAGAGAATTCATCATTTTGCAATTTCCAAGCTGTCTATACTCCAATTCTATAGAGAAATTTCTGCTTTTATTTAATCAAATGCAGTACTCAGATACCATGAGAATTAGCCAAAGGATTGTATTTTGTTTTTTTAACATTTTACCTTAAGCTAAGGCAAGGCATCCAGATTTATTCTACATTTCTCCTCGGTAGAGAAACATAGCTCATCACCTCTATTTGAAATACATGTTTACGATGTGACCCAGCTCCTCCGGGCAAGTTCAAGGCATTAAGGTTCACCAGGCCATTTAAAATGAGTACTAAAAGCTAAGGTTCCAGAATTCAGATCTTCTCCCATTTAATCTGGGTCTATCCCAACCCTACTCTGGCTCCCTCCCTTCCTGTGTTCCAGCCTTATTCCCAGGCCCTGCTACTCCCACACGAGGCCTGGGTGCTGCTGGCTAGCATTTCCCTGGGAAGACTGTGGCATTGAGCAGGGGTGGTCTTGTTATATCGTAAATCAGCGATCTAGATACAAGACACCTTAACAAGCCAATTAGTTAGGAGTCTTTATTACATGTGGGCTCAGAGCAGAATATCTCTGTCAAATTCTGAGCAAACAAAGGAAGCATTCTCTTTTTATATCTTTTCAGGTCTTTGTGTATATTACTTTTGCAGATAACTTGTAACCTTGAGTACATATCATATCTATACAGACAACTTGTAACCTTGAGTACATCATATCTAACAAACACCTGGCATGAGAATATTATCAGTATCAGCGTATCAGCCCCTTACATTAGATGGCTAGCTTGCAAGTTCAGACAGTTAAGTTTATCTTTTCTATTCTTTAAGCTAAAAAACAAAGTTATTTTACAGAATAAGAGACCGTCTAAAAATGACAGAGTTGAATAACAGAACAAGGGACTATCTAAAAATAGCAGAGAATTTCAAATAGCAGTTTCAAACAGCAGTTTTACAAAATAGAGATTACTATGCTTCAGTCTCAGGACAGTAAAGCTATTAAGAGGCCCAGTAGCCATATCCCAGAGGTAACTAGCTAGGCCAGAGCTGCGAAGTAGACAATGAAAGAACTTTGAATGTCCCCCAAGTTCATATTATTTGAGTGCCTTCTATGCACCAACAACTGTTAGGTGCTGGAGATATAGAAATGAAGTAAACAGACAGAAGTCCATGTTCTCACAGAGCTTGTATTCTAATAGGTAGAGATAGACAATAAATCAAATAGTAAGTTGCAGTATATTAGAAGGTGATTGGTGCAGCAAAGTGGGAAAGAGGACAGAGAGTGACAGGACGGTGGCGGGGAGGGGAGGTCAGGAGCCCCACAGAGATGATGACATGTGAGCCAGGCCTTTGAAGAAGCGAGGGCATAAACCATGAGACTATCTGGGACAAAACAGTTTCAGGAAGACAGACAACAAAAGGCAAAGTCCTCAGGCACAAGCTGGCCTGGTGCGCATGAAGAGCAGTGAGGAGGCCAGTGGGTGAGAATGAGTGAGATGAGCAGGAGGTGAGGGTCCAGGCTTTTATCTGGAGGAGGATGGAGAGGGCCATGAGCTGATTAAGAGAGAGAATTAGCCGTCAGGAGCCAGGAGGTGATAACCCGGGTGAGAGGAGATGTGGCTTAGGCCAGGGTGTAGCACTGTGGGTGGGAGGAGGTCAGTTCTGGAGATCCGCGGAGATGTTCTCCTTGGCCCTCACCATCTGACATAACCTAGGGCTGTCTGGAGAAAATGTGTCTTGTCAATATCACCTCAGACTCCTCCACCAGTCCTCCCTCAGGAGCTCTGTCAGTTTAGCCCTTTCTTGTTCTCAGCGGAGCAGACTTGCATCCTTCAATAACAGGGACAAACCCGCCCCTCTACAAACTGGGGAACAGAGTACCCCCGTCATAGGGATGGCAGTTTTTGAAAAGAAATCTCTCTCGGAACAGCCTTCCTCTTCGCTTTTGGGTCAACATCCTGAAGAACCCCCAGTTCGTCTTTGACATTAAGAAGACGCCGCACATAGATGGCTGTCTGTCAGTGATCGCCCAGGCATTCATGGACGCGTTTTCTCTCACGGAGCAGCAACTCGGGAAGGTGAGGCCAGCTTTAGTATGCCTTGTATGTACTCCCATGAGTCTGAGCACTCTTTCTTGAAAATATTCAAATAATAAAGAACTGGTCTAAATTACATCAGCTAAAAAGAAATAGTCAACAATGTCACTGAAAATTTCTTTAAAATCTGTCTCATTTATTTCCATTTTAATCTAGTTTTTCTAAGTGAAAATCAAAATAGTTGATTATTATCCCAACCCTACTGCAGAACTCTTTACCACAAAGTATAAAACATTCTGCAGACACTAATAAGCTATAAATCCAAAGTATGAAACTACTGAAATTGGCCCATATTAATTCCATCTGAATATACCTAAAAAGAGTCTACTTGAATATAACAACTTGTGTGTGGGGAAAACCTTACCCAAGGTCTCTAACATTATCAGTTTGTCTATTTATGATCAAAACATCAATATTGTTTTCACTATGGTTTTCTTTGCTGAGCAAAAGCCCTAAGAAAGCAAAGAAAGATAAAAATACAGAGCAAACTTTGAAAGCGATGTTTTGGTCCCATTCAAGCACCCAGCATATTAAACTGAGCGGGTCCTGAACCTGATGGATTTGAGAAAATCTTTAGAGCTGAGCAGTGGGTCTCGGGTAGAAGGCCTTTAAGAGCGCCGGGATCGATGCGTCACAGGTGCTTCAGATCCTAGTCTACGTCTAAACTCACCGTCACCCTATTTTTGTGAAACAGACCTGTGTTTACTTTTGTTTTCCTAACGCTGCCTGGTCTCTCAAGGTAGAATCCTCGGCATTATCTTCGACTCCTCCTTTCTCCCTCAGAAAGAGGTTCCTTCTCCCCACCCTATCCCCAGATGGCTTCTATTCTCTCGGTCTCTACAGTGTCTATCCCTTTCTTCTCATCCCTCTGCCCCATCCCTTCAACCCCTCTCCACAGGGATAATTGCCTCCTCACTGTGTCCTTGCCCTGCTGTCCATCTCATCTCCCCAGCTTTTCCATCTCAGGTTATTTTTCCAGAACACAAATCTCATCTTGTCAGTCTCTTATGTAAAGAAATGTGTAGATATCTTCCATTATCTACCACAGCCCCTCCTGATTGGGCCTCAAGTCTCTTTCTGGTCTCATCATTTTCTTGTACATTCCATGTACCGTCTATTCTACAGCTTTTACTTTTCCCAAGTTTACCATGAACTTGTTTTCACATCCCTTTGCTCATCTCTTTCCTGTCTCATACCTGTCTAAGTAAAATCTTACTTATTCATTCACTCACAAACATTTTTCTTTCAACATGATTTCTTAACGTGTACCAGAAACTATAGGAGACTCCGATCAGTCTGAATATACCTACTTTGTAAACTTTGTCCTGATGTAGTTCCCACACTTTCTTCACTTGACCAATAAAGTTCTTTTAGCATAAAACAGACCGAAAGGCACGTAAGTGCTTATTTATTCAAAGTAAAAATTAGCTTGGTTTATCCATTACTTACTATGTTCTTGGTATATTTCAGTGAATCCTCATAAGACCCACATAAGGTAGTTGATAGTACCCTCATTTTATAGATGCGGAAATTGATGTTTTGAGAAGTGACAAGTCTTGCCTAACATCACACAAAGTTATTATGATCCCTGATTTGCCCAATTCTGCAGTCTTTTTCTTTACAGTCCACCTGCTCCTGGTTACTGGCATAGTAAGCACTGTGTCAGTTTGTCTTCCCAACTGGACTGTAAGCTTCTAAAGAGCAGGTTCCAGTCTTCTTCACCTTTCTATACTCAATGCCTGCCCAGCTAAATCTTTAGTGAATAATTGCATGATTGTGGATTCTACTTAAACTTGACAAGTGAAACACATCTCTGTGTAGGCATCCTTCAGAGTGATTCAAGCCATTGATACATTTTTAAATGTGCTGGGGCATTGGCCCTGTTAGTAACTCATCTATCTTCCTCGAGTAGAATTTTTTAAAATTTTGTGAAAAATAATGACTTTTAAAATAAAATCGCTTATTTTTTAACATTATCAGTTATAATTACATAAAAACACTCAAATTGCCAAGGAACTTTTGCAAAATCAGATATCAGATCCACCAATACTAATGACCCCTTGCTTCCCTGAGGACACTGATAGATCTATTAAAATAAACAGGACAAGCAGAAAAAAATCCACCACTGCCAGCTACTTACCACTTTCATGGTTATATAAAGGGCTCAATCAGACCTACAATCAGATCTTTTATAAATGCCAAAATTCCCTGGTGGGTGAGGAGGAGAGCAAATGTTTTAATTCAGGCTTTTTACAGCCATTAGTAATGAAGTATGATTGAAATAAGTTCCATTGTTACAGTAACTCAAATCATGCAAAAATAATAATTTTAGTTCCTTTATGAGAGGAAGGCAGAATATATTAGCATTTAATCTGCCTGAAAATAATAGTGACTCACCAGAGCTATCTGGATAGCAGTCAGTCATTCAGCAACACGGAGGAGGGCCTGTGCAGGGACACGTGGCCAGGCAGTAGCAGTGTGGAGGGTCAGCTGCGTTACTGTCATAAATTCCCCACGGTTTTCACTCTTGGGGTGATCATTGTTTTCTTCGTCTTTTTTTTTTTTTTTTTTAGGAAGCACCAACTAATAAACTTCTCTATGCCAAGGATATCCCAACCTACAAAGAGGAAGTAAAATCTTATTACAAAGCAATCAGGGATTTGCCTCCATTGTCACCTTCAGAAATGGAAGAATTCTTAACTCAGGAATCTAAGGTATTGTTGGAAAGTAGAATTAAAACATTTGGTTACTTTTTTTTTTAAAGTCATATCAGAATCTCTCAACAAGCCTTTCTTTCTTTAAGAAACATGAAAATGAATTTAATGAAGAAGTGGCCTTGACAGAAATCTACAAATACATCGTAAAATATTTTGATGAGGTAAGATTTTAAATGACATTTTAAAATATTGATCTGAATCAGTCCCCAGGATTTGGTTCTGAAGCCTTCAATAGGCCTCAGCTCTGGCATCCCAAATGGCAAAAACGGGAGGCCAGGGGGCCTGTCTGATGGGGGATCCTGGCTCCTCGCCAGCCCCTGCACATGGCTGCTGCCCCGTAGCTTTATGGCCCACCTTCGGACCAGCCTGAACTTACATGAGTTTATGGGGCCTACAGCCACATTGACTCAAGTTAACGTTAACTCTGATGAGTAAGTAGTGGTCCTATTAAATGGTGCCAGCTTATGCTTGATTGTAAACTGCTAAAATGAAAGCTAAGCTTGTCAAATCGCCTAAATTCTGTATTCAATGGTTAAATGGAAGTATGACATTTTCTAACTTAAGTAGCTATTTCAATAAACCATTATCCTTGATTAATTCTCCTTAATCTGAATTTTTTTTTTTTTTTTGGGAATTCACACAGTCATCAGATGTGTTGTTTCCAAATATGTGTTAATTCCCCCTTCCCTGATTCCCCCCACTCAGTCATGCTGGGACAGGCTATCCATGTCAATGGTGAGAATAGCTCACCAAGTCCATTTGCTACTTGAAGATCAAGTGAAGAGCTAAGGTAGGGTAGAGGCAATGAGTTCCTTAAACATGATAAGCATCCCTCTTTCCAGGGGCCAGGGGTTAGAAGGGAAGCACTGGGGAGGGGCGGGAGGGGAGAGAATGGGAGAGGGACTAGATTGCCCAGGATGGGAGGGGAGGGAAGGGAAAGAGTCATCTCTAACCAGGATGCCCCTGCCTGCTGCATTTAAGAAGAAATACTTGCCTGCATGTTGGCTGCCCAGAAATGCTTGCTGTGCTTGGAATGGCTGTGACATAATGCATAAAACAGGGCCTTGGAGGTCTGGCCCCATATTTGTAAGCAAACAGTTGGTATTTCTTTCCAGTTTCTATTTTAAGCCAAAGTATTGTTGATCCTGTGATAATGACTTAGCAAAACAACTTGCAAAGTGAGTATGTAAATGATCGAAGAAAATGTCGGCATCTGCTTCATACAGATTTTACCACTCAGCATCAGGAATGCACAAAGAAAAAGAAACCAGAATTGTAATGATAAAACCACAATATCTAAAATAACTGTTCTAATTGTCAACAGATTCTAAATAAACTAGAAAGAGAACGAGGGCTGGAAGAAGCTCAGAAACAACTCTTGCATGTAAAAGTCTTATTTGATGAAAAGAAGAAATGCAAGTGGATGTGAGCACTGGCTTAATCTGGCAAAGTTCTTCAGACGACCTGGGAGCAAAATGGCTGCTTGAGCTACTCTGTGTCGTTAATTTTTTAAGTTTGCACATAGGTTCCACTCTGAGCACTGTCTGTAAGAGACCAAGGCACATGCACAGCTTTTAGAAAGCATACCAACTATTGTGCCTGTGTGTGTACAGGGAACCCTTCTGTAAATAGAGCTGAAGTGGTTGTTGCAAACAGCCTCCTTGTTTACAGAGAATACGGGGCCAGTAAGCAAGTGTCAGTATTGTAACTCAGTCTCCACTTAAGCACAATGATACAAGTGGTTTTGTTTGAAAACTAGTTATGTACCACTTGTGACTACACTGCAGCTCTGCAGAAAAGGGACGCTGCCAGTGATTGAAACAGAATGTGAAAGTACATTGGAAACAAGGTGGAGGTGTTAGGGCAACCTGGAAGGTTCGCAGCATTGAAACTTTCCCCGGTAGTTCTTGGAAAAGCTGGCTGCAGAATTTGGTAGTGTGTACACTTAGCATTTGTGAGTGTGTGTGCGTGTGTGTTTTTAAACCAAAAACTAACAGTGTTGCAACATTGTTGAAAGGGCTGTGTTTTTCAGTGGTCACTCCATCCACCTCGCCTCCATTTCACTAAGGGACTCTAAAGCAAGGAGCAACAGGCTTCATGGAAATGCAACAGCATTTTACCCAGACACTTTGTCTCATTTTATTTTTTGCAAACTAAATGTATTTGATGGTGGACATGGTGGATGTTTAAGAAAAATCATTAGTTAACTTCGATCAGATCTGTGGAAGAGTAACTCACTCCCCTAATCCTACAGTTCTATCCTAGTGTCTCCTTGCTTTAGAGTTCTAGTGAACCCTGTGGTTATAAATACTTGTGTGTGATTCAAAAAAAAAAAAAGAAAAGATACATTTTACATTTCATGAAATTGCTGTTCACACTGGAGTATTATATATGAATATATATATATTTGAGGCCCAAGGCCTGAAAAATATTAGTATAAAACTTGGTATCTTAGTCTTACTATGTACTTTTTGAAAGTATTCCTCACAAGAGAAAGAATTAAAAATACTTATTTTATCCATGCCTTTCTTTTTAAAGAATTCCTATCCAGTTTACACTGTAGTCTTTTTATTGATGATTTCTATTCCTGAATTTTTGCTGCTTATGACCAATTTTAATACCACTGTGTTTTCCTCCTAGTCAGTCAGAAGGAAAGTGTAATTGGCAACTCTCAGACTTTCCTTGGGGCACCTTCTACCCTTGGTGCTCCACTTCCCAGACTGAGGAAAGGCATTTCTTCACTTAGCAAATACAACATTGATCACACATTCCTTAAAATCACTTGCCAACACTGTATGGGATATCAGGATTAACTGTGAATTTGTCTTAGATAAATGCAATTTCTCTTGCTCCTCAATATCTGGTAAAGAGTCAGAGGTGACAACTCAACAAACTGTCAGAGAAAATAAGCAGTTATTGCCCTGACAGGTACCTTCCCAATCCGTCGCTTTTCGCCATTGTCTGTTCAATGGACACACCTCAAAAAACTACCAAATAGGTTACTTACAAGTATTAAGGTGAGAGGTCTGGCCCCTATCTAAGGCTGCTACAGTCTTGATGTGAAAGCGTCTGTAAGAGAACAGTAGCAGGAGAGTTGAGAGCCAACGGTAGGAGAGTTGCCCAAAAGACTTCCCCTTCTTTAGGGTACAGAAATGCTAAGGAAACTCAAAGGAACAGCTACAGCTTTCTCTGACTACTTAGTGAAAGCTCCATGAGGATGTCCCTGTCCAGCTCTGTGGTGCGAGTCCTGTGTGGAGACTCACCTCCGCTTCCAGGAACTGCTGCTGGGAACTTTGGGCAAGTCACTTACCTCTTTGTGCCTCAATTTCTGTATAATATTTCTATCCTACCTCACTGAGGTGGCGTGAAGATTCACTAATATATGTAGCGTGTTTGTCAATCCTCCAGTGAAAAGCACTATCTAGATCACATTTTTGGGTCCCATTAGCCAAATGCAGTAAATGGCCAAATTAGACATGTGCTGGAGACAATCAGTCACTGGATCTACATTAAACAGCAACAGAGAAACAAACTGCAAACAATTTATATTTTTAAGTTTCTTTGACTATTTTTTTTGGTGCAAAACCATTTATAAACTTTTTTTTCCTAACACTAGTGTCTACAGCAGCACTTAAAAATTGTTACCTTTTCCGTAATAGGGATTTAGAGTCTATTTCTTATTGTATACCTGATTGAAGCTGTTCTTGGAGATGAATGTTTTAAATGTCTATATCCAAAAATAAACATTTTGATGTAAATATGGACTGTTCTTGTCTTTTTTCCTTCAAGTTTTCTAGTTATAATAGATTTTAAAAATTATTATACAAAGTGGATCCAGGGAAATCATTTACTTTTCAGGAACAAGATGTCACCATATACTCTATGTGAATAAGTAGCTGTATTATGTAGTAAGTAAATCTCATATCTTCTAAATGATGCTAAGGGCTGCTCAATTACATTGCTGGCCTCCACTATCAACTTAAAACTCTTGATCATGAAGCCTCCTGGGTAGTGGACATTTCACTTGGTTTGGCAGACTTGAGTTTTACCCTGTTGATGTGAAGTTATTCCAGCAGAATTCCTTCAAAGGATGATGTCACATTAAAAAGCAAACGATGGCACACTTAGGGATGCACAGAAATAAAACATTTATGGTAATTTGGTTAGATCCAACACAGTGGGAGGTGAAGTTAAATACCAATGATACCTCTAAAGCAGTGGTTCTCAACCTTCCTAATGCCGCGACCCTTTAATACAGTTCCTCATGTTGTGGTGACCCCCAACCATAAAATTATTTTCGTTGCTACTTCATAACTGTAATTTTGCTACTGTTATGAATCGTAATGTAAACATCTGATATGCTATATGCGTTTTCCGATGGTCGAGACTCAGGTTGAGAACCGCTGCCTAAAGGGACTCCACTGGGGTCAAGTTTTACAATGAATGGCCCTTGTTTTATAAAGCCACAGTATTTAATTATTTGAACCTTATTATTTTCTATTCTATCTCAGAAGTCAAAATCAATATGATCTATATTGCTAAATACACACTATATGGTTGAAAAAAATCCAACAAAAGACAATACAGCTAGATAGAAAAAAATATTTATTAAGCTCTTTAATAAATTATGTGCACACAGATTTTAAAAAAGGTAGTGTTTTATATTTAGATATCTTTAAGTTGTATTATTTACGCTGACTTTAAAACTGTCATCTTTTTTCAAGAACTAGAGGTTTATAACTCGTATATAGTAAACCAGAAAATGTTTACTGACCCTGTTATTGCCAAACATCTCAAAGATGAGGAAGAAGAAATTCAACATGGGCATATTTTAGGCAACATGCCCCCAAAATTCAACTAAGTAAAATTAATAAAATATTTTAAAAATTTGATTCTTCAATTAAATTAGCTCCATTTATTTATACCATTCTCAAAAGATTTTTGATAAATACTCTATCTCTAAAGCTGTTTTAATGTTTCACTTGTCTTTAGTATAACCTTAAAATCCCGACTTACATGCACTACAGCATGTAGCTGGTACTTTTCTTGAGGCAAATTCAAGGGTTTTGGCAAACAGTAATAAAGTATCTAAATGCCACATATGTTAAAACTTCAAGCTTTATTGGGTCACTGATTTCATCCCTTTCCTCCAAAAACATCATTCCCCAGGTGATCCAAGTTCCTCTAGTTGTTTTCTTTGTGTTGTTTCTAGTTCTTCTAGTCTTTTACGAAGTAGAGAGAGTTCCCTTTGATGTTGTTCCTCCTTAAAAGCACAGAAAAAAAGAAAAAATACAGAAAAGGCTCAGAAAAAGAGACTTAGAAAAACTGGTGAAAAACTAACTTGGGCAGCAGCCTCAGTCCTCTTTTGTTCAGGCCTGCACATATGACAGAGCAAGGATGGCCATTTTAGCCATCTAAGAACACAGCAGCATGGGCCAGACTATTGACTAGTCTGACCAGGCATCTCTCCTGCCTCAAGCTCTGGCTGTAAAGCAAAACCCCAAATCTGTCCTTCTCTAGGTATAAAATTCGCCAGGGAGTTAATTAGAAAATACTCATGCTGGGTCTAGATGTACTTATACGACAATTTTCTAATAAGACTGGAGTTTAATAGCAATCTATACTAATATGCAAATTGGCCGGGATGCCGTCATGTAACAACCAATCAGGACGGGGGCAGGGCCACGGTGGAGAGCTCTCAGCATACCTGCACACCGGGGGTCCAAAAGGTGCAGAGAGGAAGGGAGAGCAAATAGGCAGTTAGGGGGATCAGGCCAGGAGGGGAGAGCAGATAGGCAGTTAGGGGGATCAGGCCAGGAGGAGAGCACAGTTAGGCAGTTAGGGGGATCAAGCCAGGAGGGGAGCACAGTTAGGCAGTTAGGGGGATCAGGCCAGGAGCTGCATGAATTTCATGTACCAGGTCTCTAGTCCTATATAATAAAAGGCTAATATGCAAATTGTCCCCTCGACCAGGAGTTTCACTGGGAGTTCAACCAGGGGGTGGGCTGGCCTGCCAACCTCCTGCGTCCCCTCCCCCCTGCCAGCCCGGCCTGATGGGGCCTGATCAGGGCGGGCCAGCCAGACCCCACCCATGCATGAATTCATGCACTGGGCCTCTAGTTTATTATAAACAAAGCTCTTGGTCTGAGATTCAATTCTGTAACTAAAACTTCATGGCATTATAAAATGTAATTAATTATTAATTCATCTTCTGAAAATCATCCAAATAATTTGATAACTTCAGTATCTCAAGGACCTAGTACAGTGTGAATTAGCCCAGGTTTTGCAATAGTGACATAACTCTGTCAGTTATTAGCTATGACCTTAGGAAAGTCATTTCACCTTTCTGACTCAGTTTTCTCATCTGTAAATTGGAAATAATAATACCTTTCCTCAAAGCATTTTTCATTAGGATTACATAAAATATTGTATGGAAAATGCATAGTGCAGTGCATTAGTAAATGCTCAGTAGTAGTTAGTGTTATTACTCAAACATTCATCAATCAACTTCCTTTTTTTTTATCCTCACCCAAGGATATATTTATTGATTTTCAAGAGAGAGGAAGAGAGGGAGGGAGGGGGAAAAGTGAGAGTAGATACAGAGACATAGCAAAACATCGATGTGAGAGAGAAACATTGATCAGTTGCCTCCTTCACGCACCTGACCAGGATCGAACCTGCAACCTAGGTATGTGCCCTGACCGGAATTGAATCCACAACTTTTTGGTGTACGGGACAATGCTCCAACCAACTGAGCCACCCGGCCAGGGCAAGTCCTTCTTTTAAATTGCTTAATAGGCCCTACTAGGTTTGGCTCAGTAGATAGAGCGTTGGCATATGGACTGAAGGGCTCTGGGTTCGATTCTGGTCAAGGGCACGTACTTCGGTTGCAGGCTCCTCCCTGGCCCTGTCCTGGTCAGGGTGCTGCAGGAGGCAAACAATGTGTTTTTCTCACATCAATATTTCTCTCTCTTCCTCTCTCTCTTCCACTCTCTCTATAAATCAATGGAAAAATATCCTTGGGTGAGAATTTTAAAAAAATAAAATATAAATAAATAAATTTCTTAATAGGAGATTTTACTCTTGGCACTATCACTAGAGGATAAAATAGATTAATATCCACTTTGCTTCTCAGGATATTTCTGTTAAAGAAAGATTTGAGTTTTTAACTCTGTATATAAACTGGTAAACATGTATAGAAACATCTGCCTAAACTTTTCCCTAAAATAAATGCTCATACCTGCATATGAGGAGGAAAGGCTAGCTCCATGCCTGGAATTATGTTTGATGACTGCAAGCTAACAGGATTGATGGATGCTGTTGGAGGTATGTTAGGAACCAAAATTAAACTTCGAAATTCATTATGTCTTCTCTGTATATCCTTTAGTCTTTTTTGAAGCCTTGTATATTCTTCAAATGGAACATTTTGCCTTGAAGAGAAAAAAAAAAGTGTCCGTTCTTTAATACATAAGTTTAAATAGGAAGAGAAGGATTTCTAAATTATAAGGTTTATCTGTATTTAATATATAGGCTGTCCCCAAAAAATGTATACACACTTTAACGCTGATAACTCATTTAATTTTTACTCCAAGGTTGAACTGATTTGTAATAATGGGTGAAGCTAGACTAAGCTTTGAACAAAGAAAATTTATCCCAAAGTGCCACTAGACTTTTTTTTTAATGGGGATACATAAAAGATAAAGTTTACGGTACAAAACTGGAAACAGTCAATAAAATTGAGGGTGCACAAATACCAAATGAAATGATCTTGGTGTTTGCAATTCCATTGTTTCATGTTATCAGCAGTGCCTGGACCAGAACAGTCATCAGTCTGAAAACAGGCATTGTCAAAAAAAATTTTTCATTTCTGTAGATTATTTTAAATTTTGAAAATGAACTGTATGTTAAACACTCACTTCATAATCATTCAAAGTGTGTATACATATTTTTGGGACACCCAGTATATAAAATTCTATCAAGAAAGATAAACAGATATGAAAGGATGTATTATTGTTACGATAGCATTGCAGGCTATTAGTTCATTTTAAAGTTTTATTTGCCAATTAATAAAAAACTCTTGATACTTTTATTTTCATTTCTACTCCACTCCCCAAGCCCATGACTCCTGAAACTAAAAGGAAACAACTTAAGCCCAAAGGATGCCTTATTTTACAGAAGGAATCAAACAGAATACAAAAAACACTAGCTTGAATCTTATGAAATTGCCATTTTTGAGGTGAACTATGGTCAAATATAGGGAATTTCATATTGTTCAACTTAATTTTTAAAAATATAGCTAGTGACATAAGTGAAGTCCAAACTTTAGGGGAAAATGACATGAAAAAAAATAGCTTTTCAGGCCTTTGCAAATCTTTTTGGACATGAGTTTTCTGACCATCAGTCACATCAGTAGTCAAATAAAGTTTCAAAATCACTCAAAGTTCTAGATAACCTGTGCCACAGCTGCCTAATCTGGAATTGATCAAATTTCCAAGTTAATGGTTATGAGAGGTAGTAAGTTGAATTTTGTTTTAGAATGAATTTGGTGGCATCTTACTTTGGAACAGAGTATTATAAAGTTGGCATTCATTCCAGTCTAGAAACCTCTTGGTTTTTATAAAAAAAAAACCAACTGTTCACATTTTGGTAATTATACCCAAGAAGACCAGGGCACATTATTAAACATCACTGCTTGATATCATAGGCAATTTCCATTACAGAAAAGTCTGATACTGTCTGAAAGCTGAAGGCTACCATTAATTAGCTGAATTTGCAGGGGTTTTTTTTATTAACTTGAATCAAATGAGTCATACAATGCCTCTACCACTTCATATGGTAAATCTTCTCTGCTCAAAAATGTTACTGTGAAAATTACTAGCTGTGCTTCGGTGTAAATGAAAAACCACAAGTCATAGCCCAGTAATAGTTTACCACACCAATCAAGAACTGATCTTTGATCCAAATTGTGGCCACAATTTTATACTATGCAATCACTACCACTGTATTGTCACAACAGCAAGAACTCACACTGCCCCTGGCTGCCAAAGCCAGTGACCAGCCTTTCCTTCCAGGCCCAACCATACTGGCATGTGTTAGATACCTTTTGGTTTGAAGGAATATTTAGTCTAGGGTGGGGGGCGGGGGAGGGGGGAGGGAGAGAAAAAAGGAATAATAAATTAGAAGTATAATGAATAGTTTTAGAATTCTTTTAAATGTATATTTTAAAAGAAAACAAAGTGCATTATGCCCAGAAACCAAGTTCTATAATATCAAAATGACCACATGGGGTATATATATACATACATATAAACACATTACCTATTTAACACCTGATTTTCTGTTTCCAATTCTTCTCTCTTTGCCTCCAAGACTTCCACTTTCTCGTGTAGTCTCTTCAATTTGTTTTCATGAAGAGATTTTCTCTATAAAGAAACAAGATGAGCAAGTGTGTAAATACATGGTTTCTTTCCTATTTGAACAAAACTATATAATAGTGAATATTTTACTCACCAAAACAATTTTATTTAGAGATGAGTATTTTTAGTCACTACTAGGAACCAAGATTAGCAGACTTGAGTCTTACTGAAAATTGCAAAGATAATAAACCACAGATATATCTCATATTCTCAGTGTGACAAATAGAACTATTATGAATGCCAAACAAGAAAACTGGTATCAATAACTAAATTGCTGCAAATAAAAAAAATCTAAAAACTAAGAAGTCAAACTTTACTAACAAGTTTGCCTGGTGCCAGATAAGGAATCATGAGCTCTTGGTTTTTACAGAAGATATCATGTATTAAAAAAAAAAAAGGTTAACCAAAATTTAAAGTTAAAAAATGTTTGCAATTCATAAATTGCTACCAAAACGGTAAATTAAAGGATCAGAAAGCTAACATAGATTATGAGCGCATTTCAGTATAAAAGCATATCTTTCTAAATACTAAAAAAATAAAATAAAAAACTTTACAAAGTGAAATTTTTCTAATAATATGCAAAAATCCATATATAATGCAAAAGTAGTATATGAAAACAAGTACAATTATTTTCAGTTTTATAAAACAGGTTTTTTTTGTTTTTTCAGGAAAACACTTATAAATGTTCCATACTCTTTAGTAGTTACAGAACATTAGGTATTTGTTTTCTTACCTTTTCCCCCCCAGTATAACAGACTTCCAGAAAAATGCATAGAACATAAATTGTTAGGCAAAATGTCAAACTGCAAAGCAAATGTTGGTGTTATTACCTCACAAATCAACAACACTGCTAAACCAGAAGTGCCCCCCCTTCCTGCTGTCAATCTCTATCCACTCTGTCCTCTGAAAAGGTAACCTAATTCACTTCCAAAGCTATAGTTAAGGTTTTGCCTGTTTTTGAACCTCACATGAATGGAATCATAGTGTACATTCTCTTACAAATGGCTTTTTTCTTTCACTCAATATTGTGAAAATTATTCATGCTATTGCTTACAGGTACAGTTCATTCATTGCTGCATCCTGTATTCTACTAATGAATATTACATAGTTGTTGTTTTTTTAAATATATTTTATTGATTTTTACAGAGAGGAAGGGAGAGGGATAGAGAGTCAGAAACATCGATGAAAGAGAAACATCGATCAGCTGCCTCCTGCACACTCCCCACGGGGGATGTGCTCACAACTAAGGTACATGCCCTTGACCGGAATCGAACCTGGGACCCTTGAGTCCGAAGGCCAACGCTCTATCCGCTGAGCCAAACCGGTTAGGGCTACATAGTTTTTTATATTTACCCAGTCCACTGTTAAGGGTCACCTTGGCTATGTCCAGTTGGGAACTGACTGCTACGGGTATTCTGCCTCATGCTTCCCAATGCCTCCCATCCTCCCGCACTCAGAATACTAGCCTGTGCCTCCTCCCTCCACGCTGGCAGAGGAACCACTCTTCTGTTCTGAACCACAATGTCTATCCATCCACCTGCCCAGGTCAAAGAAAGGAATCACACAGTATAAGCTCTTTTGTATCTGGATTTTTACTGTTGTTCAGCACTTTATATGTGTACGTAATGTTATTACATGTCACAGTCCTTTTCCATTGTTATGCTGTCATCCATTTCACAAAGATACCACGTTTTTATACATTCTTCTTCTGATGAAAATTTGAATGTTCCCATTTTGAGACTGCTATGAATAAAGTTTTTCTGAACATGTTTTTGGTGGACATATGTACTCATTTCTCTTGAGAATATACCCAGGAGTGAGTCATAGAGTATACATGTTTGAGCTTTAGTAAATACTGCCAGTTTTCTTAAGTGGTTCTACTAATTACAAGCCCACCAGCAATACATGAGAGTTCCGACTGCTCTACATCCTTGTCAACACTTGGTGTGGTCAGTCTTTTATATTTTAGCTCTTTTGGTGGAGTAGGAGAGTATGTCAATGTAGTTTTGGTTGCATTTTCCTGACATCTAATCAGGGTGATTATGCATATTGGCCATCTGGATACCACTTTTTTGTGAAGTGCCTCTCTCAGTCTTTTGCCTGTTTTAAAAAAATTTTTTTTTGCATAATCTGTTTATTGGATTTGTTGGAGTTCTTTATATATTCAGAATATGAATCCTTTGTCAGATATACAGCATGGGGCAAAAGGAGGTTTACAGTTGTATGTGAAACAGTCTGTTCTTGTATTATTATTCTATTATTTCCCATACAGCCAACTGTAAACCTCCTTTTGCCCACCCTGTATACACTACAGACTGACATTCTCCTAGTCTGTGATAATATTTTCTTTCTCTTAAGGGTGTCATTTTGTGTTTTTTAAAAGTTATTAATTTTAATAAAGTCCAAATTATCAACCATTTCTTTTATGGTTAGTGCTTTTTATGTCCTGTTTAAGAAATCTTTACTTCTACCAAGATCTTAAGATCATCTCCCTGTTTTCTTTTAGCAGCTTAATTTTTTTTAACTTTTTACATTTGTGTCTGTGATTCATTTTTAATCTAACATGGTTGGTTAATAATAACCAACTGATTCACCACACTTTTATTTTTATTTTATTTTTTTATTATTTTTTAAAAATATATATTTTATTGATTTTTTACAGAGAGGAAGGAGAGGGATAGAGAGTTAGAAACATCGATATGAGAGAGAAACATCAATCAGCTGCCTCCTGCACACTCCCTACTGGGGATGAGCCTGCAACCAAGGTACATGCCCTTGACCGGAATCGAACCTGGGACCCTTGAGTCCACAGGCTGACGCTCTATCCACTGAGCCAAACTGGTCAGGGCTGATTCACCACACTTTTAAAAAAGCACCATCCTTTCCTATTGAAATGCAGTGATACTTTGTGGTAAACCAGGCGTTCATATTCTTGTGGGTCCATTTCTGGTCTCTCTTCTGCTCTGTTTGTCAATATGTTTATCCTTATGCCAATACCATGCTATTTTAATTCCTTCAGAATACTTCTGGAAGTCACCCTTCATTTTCATTCCTGTACCCCAAGCCCAAATTCCAAACATCTTACTTCATTTTAAGTTTAGTACAGTGGGGCCTTGACTTACGAGTGTCCCGACTAATGAGTTTTTCGAGATAGGAGCCGTCTCTCGGCCAATTTTTTGCTTTGAGTTGCGAGCTAAAATTCCAGTTACGAGCCAGCTTCAGATACCCCACCGCTAGTTGGCACAGCGAACGTCACAATGAACGCCACAACATCAGCCCAGCATCACGTGTCTCACTCGTTCACTTTTTAAGATTTGACATACGAGTAATTTGAGTTAGGAGCTCCATCATGGAACGAATTAAACTCGTAAGTCAAGGCCTCACTGTATAATAGCTTCCTAACTGGCCTCCCTGTCTTCAAGATTTCCTCTCTCTGGCACGCTAGTTCTGAAACTTTCGTGTGCACACAGATCACCAGGGAGTGATAATATTCTTTAGGTATTGCATGTTACCTTATTTCTCCAATTAGGTTATATGGTCATCAGAGCAGGAGTCAATCCTGGCATTTATTTTCCCCTCGGCATAACTCTAGGCTGCACAACACAGTCAACAGATATTTTATAACTTCGAGCCTATGGTGCATTTTTTTTATAAGCCAGTCATAACAGTATCTAACCAAGACTTATTTCAGAGAGATATACCTTAGAATAAAAATGACGAGTTGTCACTTCAAGTGCTTCAAAAGGAAAAGCACAACTCATTGTGTTCATACCAAGAGATCTCTCTGTATGGTCGCACTTTAACAATGTGTGGAGAAGCGATAAAGAAGAGCCTCCCAACTCGAGGTGCCTGGTCAAGCTTTTCCAAACAAATCACAGCAAATATTATTACCAAAGACTCTACCAGAAACACTTACCAGAAATGACACAAGCTTTGTGCTTAGGAGGTTGGAATCACAAATAAACAGTGAGCCATCTTATCCAGCCTGGGGGAAAATAAAGCTGCTGTTCCCCAGCTAGAAGAACCTCTCACAGGAAAGTAACTCTAAAGGATTATGATTTCTGCCCTGGAGTTAATATTTTGTGACTTATTTTCATCTTAATGCATAAGAAACTTATGATTTGTGTCATTTAAAGGATCCAAAAATCTGTTGCACTCTTATGAATCATTATTTAATCTTACAGCCAAAATTTTCATATAGAAGCAGTATAGGGTTTGAGTTAAATTCTTTTTCTAGTGATTATTCTGCCATAGAAAATAATACTTATGTGTATTATGGCTACCAAGAAGAGAAAAACAAAGCATCTGGAATACAAGAAAGTGGGAAATTAAAAGAGTAACGGTGCAAAAAGAGCACAGGCTTGAGAATAGGAAGATGTAGGTTTTAGTCATGGCAATGATTCTAGTAGTCAAATGATCTTGGCTACCTACAACTTCAGGTTCCTAATCTATAAAGACTATCTCTGAGTGCTAAAGTCCTCCCAGCCCTAAAATTGTATCTACTTAAAAGTTGTCAGTATTTAGGGCAGTGTCCCACGTGATGGAACACATCTGGGTCATAATTATTCACTCAGTTGAGCTTAATAATTTCTATGACTTCAAACCATAATCCACACATTTTGAAAAGTGAAATGGATATTTATTATGTTCACACCCATTACTTGATAGGCATTACAATAGAAAAATAATTCATACAAGGTCACAATATTAACGAAAGGGTTATTTTGCAGGCTTCTTAAATAAAACCTTCTCTCTTTCTGGTATACCTGTGATTAGTTGATAATCTCTCTCACCACTGGATGTCACTTGTGCTCCAAAAGAAGTCAACCCAAACTAATCTCAACAATTAGAATCTGATCTTCTCTAAGATACTTTTCTCTAAAACCTCAACACAAAAATTTCTCTGTGAAAGATCAAATCAGCTCTTATAATTTCTAGTGATTTCCAGCTAACATCTGGCTTCAGAGGCTTCTAGGCTTCAAACAGTACAAGAAAGCATAAATACTTTCTAAGATCATCCCAAGCCATAATAAACTGCACTGAAACCCCAGCAATACCCATAGGATACACAGTACTTCCATGGTCTGAAAGAAAAAAAAGTGATATACAAAGGGAAAAACAACAACACAAGTCTTTATATTTGAGTATAAAACACTGGAATTCCCATTTGTAAATGTTGCTTTCTAATCTCAATATCACACTACTTTTAGCATTATGGGAAGAAAAAGGCAATATTCAGAATCCAAAGACATAGGGAAGTAATAACTTTTGGACTTCTCATGTTATAACTATCAGAAGGCATTTGGCAGTTATAGCTAATACATAAATAGGTGACTAGGAACTGTGTCCTCAGGTTTCCCAATCAAAATATGTAAATAATTTATAGTTCTCTTCTCTTATGCAAATGTGAACAGCTAACCTTTCAGATATTGACACTGCTGTGGCTATGCCTATAAGCACCTTGCTCTCATCTCAGACCTTCTTACCTCCCAAAGCAAATGCCATGACTAAGGGAACTTATCAAATGGAGACATATTAAATCAGCCCCAACTCCAACACACATGCACCACTTTTGTTGAAATAACTGCTAAATCACTGCCACAGTGAGTCGTGGTTACTAAAGGGGTCATGCTATACTCCTTGGGTTTGTTGAAGTAGAAAAAAAGTTGAAATCACTGCCTTAGGTGAATTATCTCACTACATCATTTCTAGGATGCCCTGGACTATTTATAAGAAAATAAATTAGGTTCTGGGGAAAATAGGCCTGTAAAAGGGAAACTTAAAAAGAGGGTGGCTGTCGGACTATCGTGGCTGTCTCAGAAGCCGGCGGGGAGGAATATAGGAGCAAGTGGCTGCGGCGGCGGGGCGGTTCTAGTTCCTCCTAGGAACTAGAACCCCCTAGGGCAAGGAGGTACTTGCTCCTATATTCCTGAGTTGGAAACAAAAAAGCATTTTAACCACAAAAGCAATGTTACAAGTATTAGTTAAGCTGAAACAGGCAGAATGAGTTAAGTAAGACTTGTGTGGGCTGTTCTAGAAACTTGATCACTGAAAAACAGTCTGTGAAAAAATGCATGTTGGCTCTGAAAAACTGACCTGTACACAAAATTTAGAAATAAATCTGTTGAGCAGTTTGGATTTTCCCAATTTATCTCTGCAAGGTTGAAAGCAAAATGTCATATTTAAGTACTAAACCAGTAAAATCTCAGTTTTCATTGTACATCTTATTTTCCTAAAATAGTTAATTATGTTTTACTCTGTAGAAATCACTCTAATAAGAATCACTTGCCTTTTTCTGGGCAATTGCAGCTCGCTGCAGTTTCTCTTTAGCTTGATTATACTTTTCTTCTCGGTCTGTGATACGTTCATGAAGCTTTTGCTTTTCTTCCAGCCACTGGATCTGTTTCTCTTCCAATGTCCTGTCAGAAGAATGTAGGCAAAACATGGACATTAACTCTCAGGATTAAACAGATGTCATCCCAAGTAAAACCAAACTTAATACCTATGTGGCATTCAGAAGACTAATTTAGATATTTGAAGTAAAAAATATATTGTTTTACTCAATGAATAAAGACGTTTTTCTTTGAGGGTTTTCAGAATAGTATGGCCAGAGAGAAATTTAAAGGGCCTTCTTCCATAAATGTCTTATTATTATTATTAAAAGAATTCAAAAGTCTATAAAGTTCATTCTCTAGAAATAAAAAACGTATTACCTCAGACTACTGTATATTGTCAAAGGGTGTTTGTAACTAGTTCCCAAAGCACATTCAATGTGGAATTATCATTGAAAAGAAATAGTTGTACATAAAGAAAAAAAGCGAACTCTACTTTTCAACTTCTAGTTGTGCTTTTTCCGCTTGGCTTCTTAAATTTCGGCACTCCTGTTTTAACCTCTCCACCATTTCCTTCAGTATTTGGTTTGAATTCAGCAATTCATTCTCTGACTGTGTAAGTGAGGTCACTTGGATCTGCAAACTACTGATGTGCTTAAAAGAAAAGAAGATAAATGTTAAGGCCACTAAACAAATTTAGTAAAGTATAGGGCGGCAGAGGATGCTAAACATCCTCCCTCACAAATACCCCACCCACCTAATGTGCCCTTGAGGACACCCTGAAATGAAATAAGCTTCAAGGCATAGATTTTAAAAAGCCCTTTAAAAAAATAAAGCAAAATGTCTGCTAAATAGAATACCTGTTTCAGGTCAGAATTTTCATTTTTCTCTTTCTCTGCATTTTCAATATTCACAATTTGTTGTTGAAGTTTTAACCTAAAAATCAAACCCAATAAAAGACATTATTAAGGATCCACAGTTCATATATTTCACTGAATTAGGTAATCATTTTACTGAGTGCCTTTATTAACAGTAGACATTGTGAAATCTGGTAGATAAATGATAAAGATTTTGATTTCAGGCAGTCAAGTTGTGTTCACATATAAATAAAATTTAACATAAATTTCCGCTTTTGCTATGAAAAAATTTATAAACTATTGGCATAGAGAAGAGGAGAAATCAGGTCTGTCTAGAAAGATAAGAAAACTACCTGAAAATTAAAATCTGATGGGCAGATTTTAATGAACACAGGAAACAGCCTGAGCTGTCTTTGGTGGACAAGTGTACAATGTGTTGTAAGCCACCAGAAAGCAGTCCAGTTTTGGAGAAGCCACTTTACAACCAGATAGTAACTGACAATTTACAAAATGCCTTCAGCTGCACTGCTACTTGCACTTTCACTCTCCTAGGTTAGGGAGCTCCAAAATGTATCCTAATGACCACCATGTCATAATATAACAGGCATTTAATTAAAGTTGGCCAATTTTAATTGTAATTTCTCACAATAAATCTATGCACATAAGCAGAGTCATCTTTATTATTCCAATTTTACAGATAAAAAGATTGAAGTTTAACCGAGTTAGGCCAAATCACATAGCAAGTCAAAGGACCGAGGTCTTCCAACATCCAAGTTAGTGTCCCCCTCTCCCACTTCATTATGTGAATTTTACTGATTTAAAAGAAAACTGTCTAGTACAGGACAACATGCTATATTCTATTAAATATATTTTTTCATCCCTGAGATGAATAAACACACAATTTGTATCCTCTTCAAAAGGAATATGTTCTCAGAACATCGCTGGTGACCAAATGACTAACCTCCTGAGAAAGACTTTATGCTAATTAGGCTTGAAGGATAGGCCCTCAACCTCTCCATTTTTAAAACCCTTCAAACACTTATCTCAAATATAATTCATTTGGTACTTATTTCTAGTTTGGCATTATCAATATTTATCAATCCAATTAGAACTGCTGATTGGAAAGACAACATTCTCAAAGGCCCATGGCTGTGCTTTAAACACTAATAAAAATTCAATAAACGTTTGCTGATGGATTGAATGAATCAACCTAAATCCTGGATTAGAAGTTTAAATGTGTAAAATGACTGGACAATATGACATGGAAGAAACCACTAGACCCACTGCTTTCTGAGATATTTATATACAAATGATGGAAACAATGGATCTAAAGCAAGCATATCAAACATGCGGGCCTGCCTGCCGTGAGACTGACATGCTTGATCTAAAGGAAGAGGGCCAGTCTTTCTCTTGCTTTGCTCCTTTGACAGTATTAGTCATGCTACCTGGTAATATTAGCTAAATTATTACTCTCTCAAACTTTCTATGCATTTCTCCCCTTAAAAGTTTATGAATGTTATTAACTTTGTAGTTAGATTACGAGTTAATGGAGGTTTCTTTCTACAAAACCTTGAAGATGAAAATAAAGGAGAAAAAACTGTGGGTCCTCGCCCAGGTCCAAAGTTAGAAAAGTTAGGCCCCAAATTATTTTAGCTCTGGTAGAGATTTTGGATATACTTGATAAATCAATAGAAACAAGACCCAGTTACAAGAACCATTCGTAGCCTAAATGCTTTCTAAATAAGTTATGTAGATATTAAGAGAAACAACTAAACCTACATTCAAAAATTGAAGCCAAAGAAACCAATGCCAAAGAGCACTTGACTATTAAGACACAAAAGAAATAAGAGCATCATCTCTATGGTAAAATGTAAGAAACAACACAGTTTTCTTCAGTTGGCTTTGCTGAAGCAATGATGGGTTATAATCTACAACTGATAAGAGATTTCTAAATTTTTATTGTTGACAGTATTACAGATATCCCCCAATTTTCCCTCCCCTTCATCTCCCTCCTCCCAGCTCCTGCCCCACCCCAGGCCTTCACCACACTATTGTCTGTGTCCATTGGTTATGCATATATGTATATGAGTTCTTTGGTTAATCTTTTCCCATCTCCTCCCCTAACTCCATCCCCCTCTCAGCTCCTCTCTGAGATATGTCAGTCTGTTCCATGCCTCCATGTCTCTGGACCTATTTTGTTCACCAGTTTATTATATTCATTAGATTCCACTTATAAGTGAGATCATGTGATATTTGTCTTTCTCTGACTAGCTTGTTTCACTCAGCATAATACTCTCCAGGTCCCTCCATGCTATCTCAAAGAGTAAGAGATCCTTCTTTTTTACAGCTGCATAGTATTCCATGGTGTAATGTGCCACAGCTGTTTTATCTACTCATCTACTAGTGGGCACTTGGGTTGTTTCCAGATCTTAGCTATTGTAAATAACACTGCTATGAACATAGGGGTGCAAATATTCTTTCTGATGAGTGTTTCAGACTTCTTAGGATAAATTCCTAGAAGTGGGATCGCTGGGTCAAACAGTAGTTCCATTTTTAATTTTCTGAGTAAATTCCACACTGTTCCATAGTGGCTACACCAATCTGCATTCCACCAGCGGGGTACTAGTTCCCTTTTCTCCACATCCTCGCCAGCACTTGTTATTAATATATTACAGGAGAAAATCAGTCCATGATTTAACTTAACATCATTACAGTTAGAATTCTAAAGGTTAATGGACTTTAACAAAAAGTAACTTGAATGGGAATAATCAGGGTTTAGAAATATGTTCAATGATCTAAAAATCACAATAATGAAAGAGTTCAAAACATATTATTTCACAATGCTACAGATTTAGGAATAAAGTACAGTATTTCCTTTTTTAATATATTTTTATTGATTTCAGAGAGGAAGGGAGAGAGAGAGAGATAGAAACATCAATGATGAAGAGAATCATTGATTGGCTGCCTCCTGCACACCCCCTACTGGGGATCGAGCCCACAACCAGGGCATATGCCCTTGACCAGAATTGAACCTGGGACCCTTCATCCTGCAGGCCAACACTCTATCCACTGAGCCAAACCAGCTATGGCTAAAATACAGTATTTCTTGACTAGAAGGTTTGAATATTCAAAGTGTGTTACAATTAGTCAAAATAAAATAATCTTTAGCCCTAATGCTGTTGTTCCTTGGCTGTCCATAGTAGGTAGACTGGACAGCCAAGGAACAACAGCGAATACAGCTGTGGAAAAGTTATAAATGGAAACAGTTGGAATAACAGTGATGGCTCAGTGGATGGAGCGTCAGCCTGCAGACTGAAGAGTCCAGGGTTCGATTCCGGTCAAGGGCACATACCTTGGTTGCAGGCTCAATTCCTGGCCCTGGTCGAGGCATGTGCAGGAGGCAACCAATCGATGTGTGTCTCTCACATCAGTGTTTCTCTCTGTCTCTCGCTCTCCCTTCCACTCTCTCTAAAAATCAATGGAAAAATATCCTAGGGTAAGGATTAACAACAACAGCAAAATACTAATTTTTATAACAGAAGTACAAAGTACAGAAGAAAGTACACTTAATTCTTATTAGATCAGTAAAGGCTACATAAGAAAAATGCAATTTGAAATGGATCCTGAAGACAAAATAAGAGTCTGAGGTAGAGAAATTAATGATTTAAGCAAACAAGAGGACAACTAATGAAGCAAGACTACAGAGCAAATGAAGAGGGTGGGATAGAACACTATGTATTTTGGAAGCAAAGGAAGAAAGGATATCTTCACAAAAACAGAAAAGGAAGAGAGAATGATGAAGATACAGAAGTTCTCAAATAGTGAGAAGCTGAAAGAATTCATATCCAGACATCTTTGCTCAGGTACAAATGAGAGCACAGTGGAACAGTGGACAAAGAGTTTCCACTGAGAGGCAAGGTAGCCAGGCTAACAGACTGGAAGAAGGAAAACAAAACACAAATGTACAAGAACTACCAGTTTCAATATCTTCAGTGAGAATAGAGTAAATAATAGAAAACAAATTGTTTTTAAAGTGATCAATTCTAAGGGATGACAAGGTATGATGGCTAAGTGTGGGGCTACTAAGGTAGAATAAAGATAGAGAATTCAACCTGGCTGGTTGCTCAGTGGTTAGAGCGTCGGCCCATGGACCTAAGGATTTGCTTCCCATCATGGGCAGGTACCTCAGTTGCAGGTTTGAGCCCAGCCTGTCAGGGCACAGGCGAGAGGCAACCAGTCGATGTGTCTCTCTCACAGATATTTCTCTCTCTCAGCCTTCTTCCCTCCCTTCCACTTTCTCTCTAAAGATCAACGGAAAAAATATCCTTGGGTGAGGATTTAAAAAACAGAATTCCAGAGTGAACATAAAATAGACTATAAACAAAGGTGTTTGATGTGTCAACAATACAGATGTACTCACTAAGAATGAAAGCAAAGGATAGAAAATAGAAAAAAGCTGAGCCAGAAGCCACGGTCCTTAGTGACTGGGGGGAATATCCTGTAGGTCCGTAAATGGATAGAAAGATAGATAGGGTAAGATGGATGCAACGACTATCACAGAAAAAAACATTTTAACCAAAGTTAGTCACTTGTCTAAAAACAACAGTGGGGTTCGGAAATACTGATTCCCTTTTTTGGTCCCTAGTTGCAGGAGAGAGTAAGGAGGCTCTGGCAGGTGGCTCAGTTGGTTGGAGTATCGATCTGTTCACCAAAAGTTTGTGGGTTTGATTCCTACTCAGGGCTCATACTTAGGTTTTGTGTTCATTCTGTCAGGGTACGTACAGGAGGCAAACAATCTTGATATCCTCCCCCTCCCCCTCCCCCTCCCCCTCCCCCTCCTCCTTCTTCTTCTTCTTCTTTTCTCTCTCTCTCTCTCTCTCTCTCTCTCTCTCTCTCTCTCTCTCTCTCTCTCGCTTTCCCTCACTCCCTCCTTCCCTCTGTCTAGAAATTAATGAAAGCATATCCTCCGGTGAGGATTTAAAAAAAAAAGGTTGCCAGGTAATATGCCATCAGGACAAAGTCAGGTTTCAGTAGGGGGTGTTTAGAAAAATGTGGAGATTGTAAAAAATTTATTGGAAT